AGGGTGTCCTCTGTAAGTTAATCTCGAAAAATTAAAACAAAAAGCAACACTCGAGTGTCATGATATTCTGGGAAATTTGGGTTCTTTTCAAATCTAGGTCACTGAGTCATTTCTATCAACCAACAGTTTCAACTTTCTCTTTACTTGCAAACATTCATAAAGACCTCACTAAATGCTGGTAATATTTTACACTTTGTCTTCTCCTCCCATTCATTCTGTTTCCGATTTTAATAAATTTTTTATCTGATACAAAGATTAAAATTATTCATATTAACGGGGTAATGTGATGCTCTGCTAAATCATCTAATGTTTAGATCAGGTTATACATCCCTCTCTCCTCAATATTTATCATTTCTCTAGGGTAAAAACTTTCAAAATACTTTCTGCTACTTTTTGAAACGTGCAGTTCATGACTCTTATCATTAGTCAAGAAAACTGTGCACCGGCACACCATAGCCAAGCCTTCTTGCTCCTGTCTAACTGTAACCTCATACCTATTGATCAACCTTTGCCCATCCCCCGCCTCTAAGTCGGCTGTAACCACCATTCATTGTCCATGAAGAACCCAGTGAAGTCCTCAGAGGCCCCAATAGGTACAGGTAAAGAGCATTCTAGAAGTCCCAAGGGATTCTTCCATTGACACCTCTAAGTCTCAGGAACTATTTTGTAGGCAGGAAGGAACGAGACAACCCATGGATCTGTGTGTGCATACTGAGGTGGTGGGCGGATGGGGTGAGCCTAGAGAGATGAGTTCAAGTTTACTCAGAACAGCAAAATGGCATTGAGCTGGACTTGTAATGAGGGTAGGTTTTCAATGCAATAGAGAGTTGATTGAATTCCACCTGGATTTGTCCTGGATGCAGAGACTCGGAATGGGATCATTTTCCCTCTTTGCTCAGTACATAATTTAGATAAATCCCCAGACTCCAAAGTCACAGAAGTGCTCCAATAAAACAATTGAAATCTAAGAGTTACTGAGGAAGAAAAGCTTCCCTTCCAAGAGCTCCTTCATCTGAACATTGATGAGGCTTGGATCCTTCTAGAGAACTTAGGTTTTATATGTGTGCATGTGGGTCTGTAGTACATGTGGGTGTATGTGGTGTGTAATGTGTATGTGGTGTGTGTGATGTGTAGTGTGTAGTGTTTGTGTGATAGGTAGTGTGTGTGTGGTATGTAGTGTGCATGGGGTATGTAGTGTGCATGTGTATCTATGTGTGTGTTTACTGTAGAAAGACCTATTAGAAAGTTCTTGCATTCTCTTATTTCCTCAAAAAATAAGATCACTTTCCTGACATTAATTAACTTTAGAAAAATTCTGACCAAGATTCTTTTGCACAAAATGCTGCTCTCTATTAATTTCCTATCATGATTTCTTAGACAGAGAGCCCTGTAATGGAAACAGTGTCTCCCCTCCAGCACTCATTGATCATGGAGGCTATCCAGAGAAGGGAGAAGAAATTGACATCTTTCCATGAAGGTTATTAGTTTCTGTGTTTCAAGAATGCAGTATTCATGGCTCGATCATAAACCATTACATTTCACTAGTCTTTATTCCATGGTGTCAAAATAAATAGATGCAAGCACTGAAAATACTCATGCCAGTAAGGATGTTACTAAAAGATCTGTGAAGGGGATCTAATCACAAGGTCCATGATAGCACACCAGTTTTTTATTAGCTTTACGACAGGTTTGCTGCTACTTCCCCAATAAAAGAATTTAAATTGAAAATTGAGTGATCCCTAATGGGACTGGGGCTTGGTTGCTGAACTCTGTCACCAGAGATGGCCGGAGCTAACGGGGGGAACACGTGGTGAAAATTGGCAATGATCAGGAGCACCTGTCCCCTCTGTGTCTGTAACACAGCCCTCTAGTCTTTAGGCACAAATCTGTCCACTGGATATTTTTCATAGAATCTAAGTGTTTGACCTTGCCCTCTTGTTTTACGGGTAAAGAATTAAAATAAGAGGCTCAAGTTTGTGCAAAGGAAAGGACACAAGTCTCTCATTAGTTGAACACCATCTGTATATTTGATGGTGTTTAATTGACAATGGCCCTAACATTTTAGCTTTTCAATTGCTTTGTCAACTGGTTAACAGTCTGTAGCTGTGCTGGTCAGCAGAGCAGCCACAACCACACAGGCTATTGAGGACTTGAAGCAAGTCTGGCTAAGCCAAACTGAGACTTCCTAAGTAATGAGACTGAGCATGGAGGAAGGAAAAAAAAGGTAATATCTTACAGGTATTTTGTATTGACTACATCTTTTTGTTTTTTTTTTTTTTTTTTTTTTTAAGGGCAAAGGGGTAGGTGGAAACAATATCTTTATTTCATTTTTATGTGGAATTGAGGATCAAACCCAGTGCCTCATGCGTGCTAGGCAAGCGCTCTACCACTGAGCCCCAGCCCCAGCCTTTGACTACATCTTTAAATGGTTATTTTTGATGTACTGGGTTAAAGGAGATATATTATTTAAATTAATTTCCCCTGATTCTTTTTACTTTTCTAATGTAACTAACAGGACTCATTCAATTATTCATGTGGCTCACACATTTTCTATTGGACAGCACTGGTTTATAGGAAAACACTTCACTGCACTGAGAAAAGGGCTACAAGAAATCTATTTCCAGAATTTGCTAGTGGCAAGAGCAAACAAGAGAATGAGAGTGTATTTGTTCTGACAGTTTTTTTAAAGACCTCTTCTTACCTGATCAATGAGGAGACTTGCAAGCTACACAATAAAAACTAAAGCATTATTTGAAAGCAGTTAAATAATTTTAAGATTATGCTCAAATATATATGCACTTGTTAATAAACTTAAGTTTTTAAAGGAACATCAACAATTTGGACAACATGAAAACCATCATCTTCTCTCTTAGAGCAGCTGTTTCCTGCAAAAAAAAAAAAAAAAAAAAAAAAACATAACCCAAACCAAGTAATGTCATGTAAATCAGTTCATGCCTGAAAGAGACATCTGTCCATAGTTAATACTCATACCAGAAAGATAGATGATCAATAGAAAGATCCATCCACCTTGTGAAGGAAAATAGACAACAATGATTATATGAATTCTAAGTTACAGGCCAACATGAGCAAAATTTTCTCTTAAAATCTCTGGCTGGCAACCTTCTCACCCGAGACAACCAAATGCTCTCCTTGGTCTCAAAGAAATTCTTTGGTGCAAATGTACTGCATTCATCTTGGGGAAATGATGATTTTTGCCTAAATCAATAGATTAATTTCTAATAGATCAATCATGGCCCCCAAATTAGAAGAATGAACAATATAGTCTTATCATAACCAGTACAATTTCTTCTTAATAACTTGTATGATTTTTCAAAGGTTTTAATTGCTCATTGAGATGGGTGTCATTTACTGCTGAAATAATATATTTCTCACGAAGCAATAAGCGATGTGTGGATGGGGAAAACAGCAGTCTCTCAGGGTGAAATGGCTTTGCTGAGATGCTGGGTCTCTAGCCAGTTGCTAAAGAGTACTCCTTGAGCTTAGTGTTCACTGTGGTTGCATCTCTTCTTAGGAAAAACTCTATTAAAAAAAGTAATGAGGAAAGATTCTGAAGGCTTCTGTATGAACCATGAACACATAACTCCCATCTGCAGGACAGTAGGGCTGAGCAGCAATTCTGTGCTTGCTTTGGTACAGAGAAAGCAAACTCCCTTCTCCTCCCCACCTCCTTCCCGGTGTTCACCAGGGAACATCACCCCCATTACCAAATTAAATGTCATCTTTTAAATAGGATGGAAAGATTTCCTGGTCCTTGTATCTTCTATTTCTCTAAGATGAACTGAAAGTCTTCCTTTAGCTCACAGGGCCGCCTGCATATCCAGAGATAGAATAGACAGCATTGTGGACAATTTGCAATTTCAGGCAACAACCAGGGGGAAAAAATAGTATGATTTCCCTACAAATTCATTACATTTATTCTAATTTTATCTTTCGCTTTTCTCTCCCTCCCACTCCACCTCTTCAAATCCAAATGCCGCTAGAAACCAAGTACATTTGGACTGATTTGGAATGTAAAACGCTCCAACCTTTTATTGCTATCTAGAAAATATCCTTTAAAGTGATATTTTTAAAAGTTGGGCTTTTTTGGAGGGTGGGGGGTGTTTTGTTTTTAATGTCAAACCAGGAAAGTTCTGATATGCTAGACTAGCTTCTCACAAGCACAGGGGGCTGTTTAAAAGATAACAGGGGTCAGTATGCAAAACAAATTCCTAAGGAAGACCAGCTGTGTCACTGCCCCTTAAGCCCTGAATTCCACCATTCAAGGATGGAGCAGATGATTCCAAAGCTTCTAGCTCAAAAAGTCTCTCAAACCTCCACAGTATGCGAATTGGAGTTTTTAAAGGAGCAAAGGGACACTGTATTCCCAAGCGGATGATGTGTGGAGATGCCCACGCTGGGAAAAGCCAGCAATACTTGCAGGGGAGCCTGGAGCTGTGGGCAGTCACCATCATCTGAGGGGAAATCACAGTCTTACAACTAAGGACTAGATGCAGCGCCTTGCCTGTCCTCAGCTCTTACCAGTAGATACCTTGGAGCATCTTCTTTTAAAAGACACATGATCAAATATTTAGACAGGTCCCAGCCAGGGACACGAAGTGGTCCAGAATGAAAACATGCTCAATCCAACGCCCCGCCTTTTGCATTTTTCTCACTTGGGATCGCATCTTTGGATGACTTTCTGTAAATGCATTAAAATCAACTTCCAACAACAGAAACACACCTGCAACCACAGAATTTTCAAAAAAAACAAACAAACAAAAAAAAAAAAGCCACGGTAACTCCTGTTTTGCAAGGAATCCCCAACAATGTGCAAGATGCAGAGTTTCCTTTTCCTTTTGCAGAAACGCAGCTTGCTTTCCCCACTACCCAACTTCAGTATTTAAAGACTGATTCGCCCACCCAGAGAGTGGTGATCCCGCGTCAGGGGCTAATGCCCCAGCCGCGGTAGCCCCGCGAGGGTGCAGGGAGAAATCGGTTACCTGGGGAGGAACACAACTCCGCTCAGAGCTTCCTCGGGCTCAGCTCGCGCAGGACAGGCAGCGCCTGGTGAGCGGATGCGGCTCCTTCCGAGGCTGGAGCAGTGCGCTCCCGCCCGCAGCCGTGACGACGCTGTCAGCTGCTCTCCCGCCCTGCGCCCTGCGCCCTGCGCCCTGCGCCGCTCCAGCAGCCCCGCACCTGCGCTGGCCCGAGCCTGCCGCCTCGCGCGTCACCACCCTTGCACCGTCCTCCTCCCGGCCTCCCTGCCTCCTTCTCCCTCCTCAATCTCTTGAGTGGTGCCAAGGCTGCAGCGGCAGCTGCTCCTGCGTCAATGGCGCCTGCTCGCCTCCAAAAGAGCTTGTAGGTGCCACCTACTGCATGCTCCTGGAATCGACGGCGAGGACTGGAATTTTCTGAAAATTCAATGAATTAAAATAATTTCATTGAAAGGACACCCTATTCTTTTGTTTCAGATTGCTTGCATTCCCAGCTAGAATCACTGCTAACCACATAAGACTTTCTTTCAGTTTGCAGATACTAAATTAAAAACCTCCTCATTTCCGAGCCAGACGAAATACCCTGCCCCATAGCCAACCAGACAGCACAGATTAATAGACTCTAATTTAATAGGATCCTATGTCCAAAACCGCCATTGGCAATCTTGGGTTAGAATTGCTTTTTCGCTGAGGGGTTTTTACATGAACGTTTCAGGGAAATAAGCACATTTATTTTTCCGACATTGAAAAACAATTTTGTCAAAGAACCACTGATCAAAAAGGTGAATCAGCAAAAAATAAAAATAAAAAAAGATGTATGGTTAACAATTCTGTACAGGCATCTTTAAAAATGTTTGACAATAAATTCGATCCATATTAAATTTAAGACTCAAGGATGAAGATTTCTTCTCCCACTTACATTGTTCGTTCTTTTAAATATCAAATGCACTAGGAGAATTGAGCAAAATCCACATTTTCTTGTTCTTTCAATTCGGTTTAGCTTACCTGTTCTGACACCCTTTTGACTTCCTTTGTAATTTCCAACAGCATTAGTCTTTGAAGTGCATTTCCAAAGTAAATTTCTGCCCTGCTATCCATAAGAAAGGTATGATTTTTTTAAAATCTTGCTGAAGAATTGTGCATTTTACTATTTATCATTCAAAAAAGATTTATCTTGTGCACTAGGTTAGCATAATTCTGGCCTTGGGTTTATGGCCACTGGAATATGTAAGTAAAGATACACCATTTTTTACCAAAGTCATTTAAGACTATTGTCAACACATCTACCCCTATTTTAATGATGCCTGAAAACAGGGTCCCCCCCCCCCGGCCATGTGCCCTCTCTTCAGGAAAGCCCTCCCAGGGGACGGTCTGCATATGCTGACCATTGGTCTGGACACTGCCTGCTACTGTTTCTGAGATCTGAAACAACATCCAAGCTAACAAGGCAGGATGTTGTCTTTCCATGACCACCAAAATGTAGGTTATTGGGTTAAATGATAAAAATGGAATTTGAAGACCAAACAGAGGAGGGTGAAAAGATTAAAGAGATGAAAATATTGAAGGCAAGAAGGCCTTTCCAGCATCGAATTGGAGAACAAAGCCCTGGAGCTGAAGGGAGCCCTTCTATTCTGCAAATCCCATAAGCAAAAGAATCCAGCCATTTGCCGTACAGCATCATAATTTGTTCTGAGAATGTGAAACAAGGGCCCCCAGAGACCCTTTAAACAAGAAACAGCTCACTTGAAATGATGTCCCTGGCCTCTCTGTCATTTGCTGGGAGCCCTAAGCTTTCATCAGCCAGAGGAGCAGATTGTTCCCAAATTCCTCCTTTCTCTTCCCCTTAACTTATGTCCTCCTAAGAGCCTGCCCCATTTGCTTCTAGACTAGGAGCTCCTAACATCTGGCTGCACATTAGGATCAGCAGGGGAGCTGTAAATGAATTTTAAAGCCAGGATTAATTTCCAGCCCAGTCCATGACACAATTGGATCAGAACCCCTGTGGGTGGGACCCAAGCATCCAGATATAAAATCATGATTATAGGTGAGGTTGCTATGGTCTGAATTCATACACTGAAAGTCAGACCCTGGAAAATCTAATGACCAATGAAATGGTATGGAAAGCAGGAAGGCCTTTGGGAGGGTACGGATTAGTGCCCTCCTAAAAGAGGGCCCAGGGAACCGCCTCTGTCTTGCCCCACATGAGGGCACAACAGTCAGGCGCTATCTTTGAACTGGGAAATAAGCCTTCACCAAGCATGGAATCTCAGATCCTCAGCTCTTGTGTGTCCCAGCCTGTGGAACTGTGAGCAATGAATTTCTGTTGTTTATAAGCTACCCAGTCTATGGTATTTTGTTAGAGCAGCCTGGAGGAAGACAGAAGTCAAGGCCCAGAAGCATTGCACTAATGTAGAACCTTATACTCAAAGCAGAGCTGTGGGTCTGCAGCATCACCTTACCCAAAACTCATTAAGACAACAGACTTTTAAACTCCACCACGGAAATGGATCTTGGAATCTGACTTTAACAACACTCTCAGGAGATTTCTAGGCCTGTGAGATGGGGAAGAGCTCCGTACTAATATCTTTCAAATGTTAGCCTCAACTGAGTCACCTGGGTTGGAAGGGGGGCTAGGCCACACCTCCAGATTCTCGGATTCACTAGGCCTGGAGCACAGTGCCAGGCAATGTTGCTGAGAGCAGGATCCAGGTGAGCTAGGCCCCGGTGAAATGATGCATAACCTGGTAGCAAATAGTAACGGGATTCTCACTGCCCAAATGGAAGAAGCGTAACTACTCCATTTTCTAAGGCAAATAAAAACTGGCTCAGCCAGTCAATCCAGTGTCACTGGTTTTGAAGCAGGCCTGTCCTTCGCAGACTTACACCTGCCCTAGGGCCTTTGGGTGGTTGTGAGAAGAGCCTCCTTCAGCCAGGTTCCCACTTTGCTCTTAGAACCATGCCAGCTTACACTTGGCTTTTGATCAAATTAAAAGAAGTCCCCTCTCTGGATGGAGGCTATCCCTCACCACACCAGACAGGGCATGCTTTGAGGGGCAGAGGGCCCTTGGTGCAAATAACTTTCTTGGGCAGGTGCAACCCACTCTAGGTGCCCAGTTTTAGGGGCAGGGGTATGGGTTGAGTCCCAGTCCCAGCCCTGCCCTCTGCTAGACATCTTTGTGCATGGCACAAACTGCCCAACCCCCAACCTTACATATCATCCCCGCTTCCCCATCAGTCTATGTCAGGGATGGCGGTTCCATTTATGTCCTGGGGCCACAGAGTACCAGTCAGAACCGAATGCTGACGTCAGGGGCCCAAACTGAGGGAGAAAGTGGGAGCCCCACCCATTGGCCTCTGAGCAAGTGAACATGTAATGGATGAAAAGATACCTTGTGTTCGCCAGGGATGTTGCTGCCTTTTTTCCACTAAGACAATGAATGGTTGTGGGGACCAGCAGTATCAGAACTGGAGAGAGTTGGCAGAAATGCACATTTCACCTCTACCCTGGACCTACTGACTTAGAAATTCTGAAGGTGGAGCCCAGCGTTCTGCAATATTTTGTAAATAATTGTGATTCTAATGCACAGTACAGTTTTGAAATCCATTGCCCAAGATGTGTCTTTGTATGATTTATATTTTTGACAAATGCCATGTTAACATATTTCCTTTAAAGTTGTCAAAAAGATACCATCTTGATAGAGTTTGCTCAGGGGAGTAATTCAGGCCACCCCCGGTGGTGTTTCGGGTAGTAAAGATGTGGCAGATTCTTCCAGTATCACAATCATTGTCTATGCAGCCATCCCTTCTAAGATGCTACCATGTAAGGGTGGAGCTCAGGATTCTGCTCCCCTGGGAACACCCCATTTCCAGCAATCCAGATGTTCCCTTCCCTGGGGTGGCCCAGGTCTCTCTTTGCCTTGAACTCCCGTTCCCATATTCTGCCCCGTAAGATCATTCTGGCTTAATCCCCAGAGGATCCAGACCCTGCAAACCAAGATCTCAGCCTTCAATGGCAAAAAGCTTTGCAGAGTTTGGAGAGAGGAAACCCAGGCCTAAAACCATAAAGCCTTCCTCCAAAAAGTAGGAAGAAAACGAAGCTTTGCTAAGACTTTTGTCCATGAATTCACTGGCCCTCAAATAAGAGCTCTCTTTGGATACAGCTTGGGAGCACCCCTGGAATTTCTCACTGTAGGTGTTTGCAATCAGGGATAGTATCTTCAGCAAAGGACAATGCCCAGGGAAGAAGTTGGTGAAAGATTCATGTAGAAGTACTCCTCCAGCAGTGAGCTCAGTCCTGACTGATGGCCGAGGGGTGGGCGACAGCAGTCTAGATTGACATCAGTTTGTTGCAAATGAAGAACCTCAGAGCTAGGTCTCTTTGCAAAGAAGAGAAGGTTCTTTGTTATTCACTGATTTTCATCTTGATTCTGTATTTCTAATTACCCTTTGAGGCTCTCTACATACACTAACTGCTTTTAAGTCTATTGAGCTTCTCGGTTGTCTTCTTCCTCTCCTCCTTTGGTGCCTTGTGTACCCCATTAAGGAGGAGGCCCCATGTGCTAGTATCTGTTCTTAATCTCTGCAGCTTACCCAAGCTCCACAGATGCTAAAGCTGACATCTGTTCTCTGTAATCTCAGAGTTTCTCGTTGCAGCCTTATGTAAGGTTGACCTAGTTCTCATGGTCCACTCAAAATATTAGCAAACACACTGATGATTATACACATGAAATGCAACTCTGTGTACCTACAAGGCCCTACACGCCCCTGGGTCCAGCTCAACACACCCCTCTTGTTTACTCCCCCAAGTCATCCGCTGTACCCTCTGCAATGTTTTACCTTATTCATCAAATCCCTCTGACATTTGAGCTTCCTGATGGAAGGGTCCACCAACCACTTTCCCTAATCAGAAGCTGCCTGTTCTCCAGGTCCCTGCCTGTCCTGCAGCATCTCCAGCAGAGATCTCCTTCACCCCAATGAATGGTCTCTTCTGGGTCATGTCCTCCCCTCCCAGCAGGAAAGTGCTACCTCTTCTTTGTCTTGCCATCATCTGCCCATCCTTGGGTCTGGTGGTCTTCTTCTCCACCGGATCCAGGGCCACCTGAACAATGCACCCAACTTCTCTTATTCCCATGGTCTCCTCGTCCCTGGTGACCCTTTGCTGCATCACACCGTCAGCCACATCACG